AGGAGGAGGCTGCAATGCTTGGTAAGAAATGTATGCATTATCCTGCCCATGTAATTGTAACCCCTCTGTACAGTATGTTCACAAATAAAATTAAATTAAATTTTAAAAAAGAGGAAAAATTCGTCTGAAGATGGACTATTCTAAATTCCTCTTGAGATAGCTTTATTAGGTATGATTCCCAAAGAAACAAAGAGAAACATGTTAAGATAGTAATGATAGAGGCTTGTTATTGGGGAAAGAAAGAACCAAAGCAGATCACAGGTTATAGATAACAAACATTAATTGATGCCAAAAAGAGAATGGTTGCAGAAGAAAGAATTAGGTCAACTGTTATTTCTTCCATTTCACAAAGCAAAAATGCAAACATCTTTTAAGGAAATATCACTGAATTGGATTTTATGAAACTATGAATAATTTTTAATACTTCTATTTGAGATACTAGTTATTGAAGATGAATAATGAACTAGGTAATGATGAACAGTAAATATGAGTCACTCTTTTGAATTTTTTTCAGTGATATAGAACTTCAATGGGTGGAATGAGTTAGGTGATTTAATTATGTACTCAAGTATATGATAAAATTGGCTGCAGTAACTGATTAAATTTCTACTAGGTATGAAACACATAAATATGTGGATGTATGAATAGTTGATCAAAAATTTATTGTTGATTCAAGCATAAAGCCCAAACAACAGTAAGTAGCAACAGCAATAAAAAGATTAAAAAAAGCCCAAGATGTTTTTGAGTATATGAAGCAGCATGAATATAGGGAGTAAGAAAACCAGTAATGAATTCATTGCAGCACATAGTTTTTTATACCCAATTAAATTTCCCTGGTGGCAGAATACTGCCTACAATAAGCTCTACTCACTTTTAATTGAAATGCAAGAAATTGGAGACTTTTTAAGGATAATGACATCATGGCCAAAAAGTTGCAATAAATACCTATTACTACATGTTTATGTACTTTTCCGTGTAGTTTGTTTTCATTTGTCCCTCATTTTGCTTTAAAATTTCC